TGTGTGTGTGTGTGTGCATGTATAAGGTAAAATCCTCAGAGACAGTAACTGTGACAGTAACTGCGAAGCTCACCCACTTCCTATACAGAAGGAATGAGAATTGACAGCTACATACAGATGAAGCTGGTGATTCCGACTGTCACACCTCTATCTCTGGGGTGACAGCCACACTAGGAGAGATTGTTTACACAGCCTACCCAGCTAGAATGTAAAACAGTCTTTGATTTACCTGTCAAAATGGATGAGCTGTATATCAAGGATCCCGCACAATAGTCCCAGACCTTTAAATGAAAAGACATTTCTTTAAGAGACATAAAATGATGCTATGCTGCTAAACCATGAAATGAATTTTAAGCAATTAAAAATTAATCTGTATAAATAATAATTAAAGAATAAGAATTTACTTAGTGAATCACTGCATTGTTAAAAACCCAAGACTTCAGAATTATGAAAACATCCTGAGTCTTCCAGAGATGACGACCTATGAGTTTGGGAGGATGAAGACATACCTAAGAGACAGCAATTCCTAGGCACATACAATACCCCAGTCAGTAGCTCAGTGAAGAATGTCAGCATGTCCCTGGGTCTATGGCCCAGTTGTGGAGGGTGCTTACCCGGAGGACTGCACTCTAACCATGACAGTCGCTTGTGTTTGCTATACCCACTATCCCTTCTATGGTGGGCACACCTCCAGGGACATTCCAAAATATCAACTCTCTTCTTTCTCATGACCACCAGTGAGACAAGAGACCCCTTTTGGTCTATTTGAAATATAAAATTGAAGTGCAGTATAGTTATCCAAGTATGGCAACTTGGATTTCTGTCCCAACAGCTGCCGACTCCCAGGGGAAGTCAGGACCCACTGGGTCTCATGAGACAGGTATTTTAAAATGACCGTAGTATAGATTCTGACAACTTCTGTGATTTGATACACACGTGTGACTTTCAGCTTTTCTTTTAGGACAATGACAAATGTCTGCCCTTTGTCAGTAAAATCATAGTAACGCGAGCTAACCTGAGGCTGCTCAGAAGTGAACCTGCATTTTGCTTTATTTTTTTCTGACGCTCAGTTTAGTTGTGATCGAATCCTCTTACTGGGGACACTGGATCCTCAGCTGCTGGTCATTAGGAAACATTGCAGATGTACATTGCCCCCTCTAGATTTAGATGTAAGAAAAGTTGGGGACAGTTCAAATGCTGGAGACCCAAGAAATGCACCAAGGAGTATCCCAGACCTACCAGAACATCAAAACTCCACTTCTGTGTGGGTGAGAAAACAGCCTCCTCGGGTATGTGCTTCAAATTGTATTCATTTTATTTGTGTGTGTGAGTGCTTTGCTTGCATGCATGAATGTGCACCACATATATGCAGTGTTCATGGGCCAGAAAAGGCACTGGATACCCTGGAACTAGAATTCCAGACAGTTGTGAGCCACTGTGTGGGTACTGGGAACAGAGTCCTGACCCTCTGCAGGAACAGCGGTGTTCTTAACCACTGGGCCATCTTTTCTCCAGCTCCATCATATTTGTATTACCAGAAAAAAAAACTTGCACAGCAGTAGCAATCCAACAGCAGCAGGCAGATATGTCCCATAGCATCCCTCTGTCCACAGCGTCCCTAACATCCCAAGCCACCGCTGCTCACCTTAAAGCTTCTGTCTTCAGACACGGAGATGAGGATGTTTGCTTGCCAGGGACAGAATTCTACTGCTGTCACTGAGCCTTGATGGCCCTGCAGCTCCACCAGCACAGACTGCTTCTAGAAAGAAGGAGGATTTGTAAAAGGTTATTCATGGAATTTTCTAGAATGATAAACATCAAGAAATCACAGTCCACTACAGAAAAGGGAGCTTGCTAAAATAAATTCTATACGGCCAGGCAAAGGGCTCAGTAGGCAAAGGCACTTGCCACCAAGTCTGAAGACTTATTCAGTCCCTGGAACTCACATGGTCTATTGGAGTCCACCAAGGTTTCCTAGTGGCTTCACCCAGCAGGACTGCATAAGAGGATGACTGGGCTACAGGCCTGAGTATCAGGTGTTTGGAAGGGTCTACACGTGGTTGTATCTAGCAGGGGGAGGTCTTTTTGCCTCATCCCTTGGCATTGTTATAAAAATCCCTTTTGAATAAAGTTCTGGGCTGGTGGGTTGAGACCCAGATCCTCCCAAGGCTATCCTGTGTTTCTGTCTTTCCTCTCGTTGTCTGGGTATCTCTATCTAAGTATTTCCCACTTCTCCCTGCTCAAAAGGACACTGGTCATAAAAGTGGGGGCTGGTCCCCCACAACGGTGGAAGTAGAGAACCAATTCTACAGTTGTCTCTGACCTCCACACATGTGCTGTGGCATGTGTGCCTGCATGCATGTGCACACACACACACACACACACACACACACACACACACACACACACAGAATGTTTTTTAATTTAAAGAATAAATTTTATTTTACACATCCCTCTTTCCAAATTTGGGCCTACCCTACCCATATCACCTCAGAAGTTAAAAAGTCTGATGCCCGAGCTCTGAGGGAGGTACATCATCAGTAAGGAAAAGATAAGAACCAGCTAAATCTGACCTGGTACAAACAGGGGGCTAGCATCTCCTGGATTCCCTGTTGTCTGTGGCTTTCTCCTGACAGCCTCTTCTCAGCAGCCCATGTGTTCAGGGTGAAGTAAGATGCTCTTGCTATCTGTCCCTTTGTGTCTGCTTCTTTCATCTGTTCTCGACCACTGTCCGCCTCCCTCGCCTTTCTGTCCTATCTTCTACTTCCCTTTGAAGCTATTCTCCAGTAACTAAAGTAGAGAGTAACTAAAATGTAGCAAGACAATGTGGTGTACCTACTACAGAGTGAGTTATCCCTCCTTCAACTCTTAGCTTCACACAGCCCAGGCTTGGCCTAGCAGTCAATGGACCAGCTCCCATTCTAACATGCCCTAAGCACCATGGCTGTGAGAACAACAGGACCTCCTGAGAGTCACAGCTGCCTCCCACCTCCAGTCCCAGTGGGTTCCATGTCCAGTGGCAAGGAAATGCTTGAACGTTATAATACTTTATACAGACTGCAAGGACACCTCAGACATACAACTATATATAATGACAGATCATATGTCTGCAGATGATCAATAGACAGTCAGATATAGATGATAGATAGGTGACAGATGCTCAATATATAGATGAAAGATGATAGGTAGATATATAGAAGATAAATGATAGATACCAGTCTGACAGATTACACAACTTTTAAGTACACACTGAACTCTAAAAGCTCTCTTTAACACTCTAAAGAACGCTGATAAACAGAATTTAGAGTTGTATGGGGTATGCTATATCAATAACCATCAAACAATTAGAGACAGAAGATCATAATGCATGTTGGGACAGAGGTAGAGAGGAAATGAGGTTATAGAATATGCATTCTGTTCCCTTCTGGAGCTTTAAAGCTCCCCAATTTCCATTTCTCTGAAGTAAAACCACTCACTTACATATGACTATATTATCACCTGCCAGATACTTTGTTTCCTTCTAATGGTTTATATTTCATGGTGATTAAAAAATGCTCAGTATTCACTTGAATGCTTTCAGAGAAAATTTTGTGACCTGTTGAACATTTCTCTGAAAGTGTAAGCCATCTGTGGACTGACTTGTCCTGTTCCTTGGCAGCCTGTCCACCACATTATTCTCCCTTGGGAGCCTTCTCACACTGTACACCTGCTGCTCACACACGTTACACCTGAGAAAATTTCTGCTGCTGACTTTTGATTTCCAGGTACATAACACTGTCAATCACTTTTGCTTTCTGAACACTTCCCTGACTTCGAACACCAGCAACCTTAACTATCGTCCTAGTTCATCTGGTCTCCCTCACCCTAATCAATGTTAGTTTTCCATTTTGGTGGTTGGTTTTGTGATGCAGTAGAGTAGCCTGGTGCCGATCTGTTCAACTACCAAAGGGTGTTTTCATACATCCTAGAGCTGAAGATCAGCTTATCCAGAAGGCTCCCACACACCTGACCTAGAACTGCTCAGCAACAACAACACAGATACCTCATCCCCAGTCTCCAAAGTATGACTTAAGTGAGGGAAGGTGTTATTTCTTTCAATGTGAACCTCAGTTCATTCACAGTTAGCCCAAAAATTGTCTGAACATAAAACTGTGTTCCCTTTGTGTGGGGTTTTATGTAAGAATGGCCCCAGTATCCACCACCTGCCTTCCCGCTGCTACCTCAGCCTCATGCATCATTAATGATAGGTTCTGTGGTGGTGTGAATAAGAACGGCGCCCACAGGCTCATAGATTGAATGCATGGTCACCAGGGAGAGGCACTATTTGAAAGAATTAGAAGGTCTGGCCTTTTTAGGAAATGTGTCACTGGGGGTGGGCTTTGAGGTTTCAAAAGTCCATGCCAAGCCGAGTCTCTCTCTTTTCTCTTCTCTTCTCTTCTCTTCTCTTCTCTTCTCTTCTCTTCTCTTCTCTTCTCTTCTCTTCTCTTCTCTTCTCTTCTCTTCTCTTCTCTTCTCT